CCACTTGCCACTATAATAGTATCCTAGTACAATTATATTAAATATGATGTAATCGGCGGGCCACCACGATTTTGACTGACGGATATGATTAACGACTTCATTGTCTGCAATTATCAGGTCGAGCGGGGCAGTTTTTCGATGATATATGTGCCATCCGATTACTTCGAACTCTGTTCGACTCGGCAGTAGACGGACTCGACATCTAGGGATCTGATCGGCTTTTTGGTGACCTGTCATGAAAACCTGTTCGTACATTCATTTATTACGTATTTTCCGCTCCTTGGTTGCCGGGCCGTATTTTATTATTTTATTTATCATTTAATTACTCGGAGCCAAATTGGGTATCAACATAAGGCCCCCGAGTTTAGGACACGTTCTGATTGAACTGTTCTGAAGTCGCGTTTATTTTTTACAATTTGGCAGTATTTTCGCCTTATGATCTTTTGAGCTTCGAGCTCTTTTTATAACGTTAGGATTTACGCGTAATGAGAGATATTGGTGAAATCGCAAATATGCCGACGAGTGCGCGTGTCGGATAATTTTCGCGTGATTCGAGAGATCACATTTATCTTGTCAGTTTTTGGCGAAAAATGGTGATTTTATCGCGAGTTAGTATGCAATGTTAGGGCGCTTTGGGGCCGTTGGGCGTTTCGTTGATCATTTTAGGCTTTGGCCTCAGTCGGTTTTGACCGAATGGGCGACTTTTCTGAATTTGCTATTGAATGGGGCCTGAGCGGCCTGGTTGGGTAATTTGGTACCCATTTTTATGTAGGAATGCCTTTTGAATTGTCGACATGAGTGAGCTTAGAGCTCTTTGTTTCTTACGAGATTGTATGAATAATGCGATCATATGAGGAATGCGTGAATGTATGATGAATGCATGTAATGGACGTATGATGAATGCATGTGATGAATGTTTGACAAATGAGAGCACCTTGTCGCGTGTCTTGCTGGGCCGAACTGTTTTTGTAGTTCGGTTTTTAGTTTTGGGCACTTCGGCCTTACGGCTCGTAGTCCTTTAGTTATATGGCATTTCGGCCTAATGGCTCGTAGGCCTTTAGTTTTACGGCATCTCGGCCTAATGGCTCGTAGGCCTTTAGTTTTACGGCATTTCGACCTAATGGCTCGTAGGCCTTTAGTTTTACGGCATTTCAGCCTAATCGGGCCCCGTTGTCGAGCCCGACTTGTGCAATTTATTGCACTGATGATTACGATGGTGCATTACCCATCTGATCCGCTCGTTGGGTAGGGTGGTGGTCTGACCTGGCCGAGCTTCATGATCGACCTCGACACTTATTTATTACTTTTTTTTTTTTTTTTTTTTTTTTTTTTTTTTTTTTTTTTTTTTNAGCTTCATGATCGAGCTTGGCACTTATTTATTACCTTTTTTACGTTGGCGACTGTGGCCTGACCGGGCTACGTGACTGAGCCCTTCTTGTGCCGTCCGGGCCATCATACTGACCCCAACTGCACATAATTACGTGGCAGCTTATCTGACCGGTGTCGCGTTCGGACTCGGTGGTATTATTGGCCTGACTGGGCTTCCTAGTTGAGCCCGGCTAGTGCTGGCTGGGTCATCGTACTGATCCCGACCTGCACGAATTTATTACTTAGCCGAGCCTCGTGATCGGGCTCGGCATTTATTTATTACTTTGGCGCGTTACCTGTCCAACTTGCTCGTTGAATCGGGCGACGGTCTGGCCTTGCTGAGCTTCGCGTTTGAGCTCGTTATTCATTTCTTACATTGGCGACTTTGGCCTTACCGGGCTACTTTGTTGAGCCCGGCTCGTGCCGGCCAGGCCAACGTACTGACCCGACCTGCACATAATTACGTGGCAGCTTACCTGACCGGTCTCGCGTTTGGACTCGGTGGTATTATTGGCCTGACCGGGCTTCCTAGTTGAGTCCGGCTAGTGCCGGTTGGGTCATCGTACTGATCCCGACCCGCACTTGGTTTCTTACGTTAATTACGCCGCTTCGACTCGATCTAAGCCTAAGACGACCTAGCCTCTAAAAGCAAAAGGTAAATTACATTCTTGACCTAGCTCATCGAATAATCTACACAATAACGTCACTCACTGAGTGAGAATAGTCTAGACCTATTGGTAGGACTTCTTCAGAAACGCCGAGTTTTATGGGTATTGATGGGCGTGTGCCGTCCAGATGTTTAAGTCGGTAGGCCCCGTGTAGGAGGACCTCGATGATTTCATATGAGAGTGGTTTGACTTGGGATTTGACATATCTCTCGTTTCATCTTTTATATGTTGCGTTTCTAATCTCGGCTTGTGACCGGTGCTCGTCTGCAAGGTTGAGGTTTGCTCTGAGGGGTTCGCCGTGCCGGCGAAGTATTGATAGGCTCGGTAGAGCTGGGGCTCGTCGGTAGGCGATATGTAGGTGCCGCCCTAATCGTAGCGCAGGTTCGGCGATAGCAGAAGCAATAGCGTTGGCCCGACAGAGCAGGGGCTCGTCGGCGGGCGTTGTGATGATGCGGGTGCCGACCTGGCCGAGCGCAGGTCCGGCGACGATAGAAGTAATAACGTTGGCCTGGTAGAGCAGGGGATCGTCAGCGGGCGAGATGTAGGTGCCGACCTGGCAAAGCGTAGATGCTGCAGTGGTAGAAGTGATTACGTTGGCCCGGTAGAGCAGGGGCTCGTTGGCGGGCGAGATGTAGGTGCTGACCTGGCGAAGCGCAGACGCGGTAGTGGTAGAAGTGATTACGTTGGCCCGGTAGAGCAGGGGATCATCGGCGGGCGAGATGTAGGTGCCGACCTGGTGAAGCGCAGACACGGCAGTGATAGAACTGATTACGTTGGCCCGGTAGAGCAGGGGCTCGTCGGTGGGTTCATTTCCTTCAGACGAACTCGATGTCTTTCTCACTTATACACTTCAATAAGAATAAGGGTGTCGAGCACCCTCGTTTGAGCCGTTCGCCAACCACGATCGTAAATCGAGCAATCCGGGTACGAAGCCGTCTGGCCTCTTTTGGGTCAGACGATAACCCCCCGACAACAAGATACGAGTGGCCTAGCTCTGATCATAAATTGACCCGTATGCGAAGCTGCCTGGCCTCTTCTGGGTCAGATGGCAACACCCCGGCCCCGAGATATGATCAGATCGGCTCCACCCAGGTTAGGTCCGTGTTATCGGCGGTCTGCCCGGCACACAGAGCGGAGGTGCCGGCCATGGGCGGTTACTCCCTGTGCCAAACCTGGACGTACTCGACGCTCTCCACCATGGTGCTCGAGGCGAGCCAGGGAGAAATAATTGCGTCGTCCCAGCCAGAGCGAGGGCTCAACGGCGGGCGAAATAACGACGTCAGTCTGGCAGAGCAGGGGCTCGTCACTGGACTGAATGGAAACGTCGGCCTGGCTGGAGCGAGGGTTCAACGGCGAGGGAAATAACGACGTCAGCCGGCAGAGCAGGAGCTCGTCGCTGGACTGGATAGAAACATCAGTCTGACCGGAGCGAGGGCTCAACGGTGGGCGAAATAACGATGTCAGCCTGGCAGAGCAGAGGCTCGTTGCTGGACTGGATGGAGACGTCGGCCTAGCCGGAGCGAGGGCTCAATGGCGGACGAAATAACGACGTCAGTCAGGCAGAGCTGGAGCTCATTGCCGGACTGGATGGAAACGTCGGCCTGGCCGGAGCGAGGGCTCAACGGAGGGCAAAATAGCGGGCAAAATAACGACGTCAGCCCGGCAGAGCAGAGGCTCGACGCCGGACTCGAGGGGCTCAACGGTGGGCGAAATAACGAAGTTAGCTCGACAGAGCAGAGGCTCGTTGTCGGAATGGATGGAGACGTCGGCCTAACGACGTCAGCCCGACGGAGCAGGGGCTCGTCGCTGGACTGGATGGAGACGTTGGCCTGGCCGGAGCGAGGGCTCAACGGCTGGCGAAATAACGACGTCAGTCTGGCAGAGCAGGGGCTCGTCGCCAGACTGGATGAAAACGTCGGCCTGGCCAGAGCGAGGCTCAACGGCGGGTGATAACAACGTCAGTCTGGCAGAGCAGGGGCTCGACGCCGGACTGGATGGAAACGTCGACCTGGCCGGAGTGTTGGCTCGACGGCAGGCGAAATAACGACGTCACGGCTTGAAGGTCTCGTGACTTTTCGAGACTGAGAAGTGTTAGAGGAAAGATCATGCCTATCCTAAAGGCTTGCAGCAGACCAGCTTCCTCCAATCCTTCCCGTCTCAGTTTGACTTTCACGAATGAAGTTCGGTATATATTTTTCTTCACGCACATATATATATATATATATATATGCGTTTATATATTTATTATTATCATTAATATATATATATACATCTATGCGATACTTATTATATGTACATATATAATTCATATCACAATGTATCCGTATGCCCACATTTATATGCGTGACTTAATTTATGTACATAATTATTGAAACTTATAATAATTATTACTTATTAATTAAGTGTATATGCAGTATATATATACATGTGCAGTACATATGTATATATATTACTTATTACTTACTATCATTATTAATATTATATGTATACTTTAGGCAAACTTTGGATGAAACTTACTTGGGCTTGTGGACTATTAGTCCCAACAAGAGAGGTATTTGGATAAGGCCCATCAAAGCTGGTTAGCCCGTCTTCATTCCAACAGTTGTGCAGCCTTGTTCACTCCATCGCTTCAAATCCAGGAGCTCCCTTAAGTTCTGCTCGATTTTGACTGAAAAACAAAAAACGTTGGCTACTCTCACGGGTGGCAACGGCAGGTCGGCCATTTTTCGGTGGGGGCGGCGATTTGACCTCTCGGTTTGAGGACAGCCGCGGCTATGTCGGTGTCCGGTTTGGAATTCACTTCCTGGCGGCGGCGGTAATTTGGCTTCCGGATCTGAGGGCGGCTGCGGCTAGGTCAGCGTCTGGGTTTGAGGGCGTCGGTGAGAGATTGGTGTCCGGGTTCGAAGGCAGATTCCGCTTCCCGATGTCCATAGTGGTTCGACATCTCACGTCTATTCGGCTCAGCGATTCGCCGGAAGAGGGGTCAGGTGCTGCTACTTGGATGGCGTCAACTGGCCGGCACTCGGCGATGTCAAGGTCGGATCTCGGCTGAGGTCTGGAGTCGACTCCGGTGGCTTTGAGGTCGGCTTCGGTGGCTCTGAGGTTGATCCCGTCTGTATGGTTCAGCTCGGTGATTGTTAGATCGGATGTCGGCGCCGGCGGTAAGTTGGTGTCAGCTCGGCGTGAAGTTACGATGTCGGCGGCCCTCGTGTGGTGCCATCTTGAAGTCCGAGGCCAGCGTCGGGAATCTCGCGTCGGCTGCAGCCGAAGTGGTTGCTCGTGGTGGTGCGGTCGTCCCCGGCGACTGAGTACGGAGAGGCTGGGTTGTCCTGGGTTTGATGAAGTCAGGTTGTAACTGCGAGATCGGCGGCGGTCGCTGAGGTCGGCAGTTGAGGCGCGGTTGACCGTGGTTATGGCTATGGTCGGCGATTCGGGCCTGGCCGTGGTTGCGACCGAGGTCGGCGGTTTGGGCCTAGGCCATGGTGACGGATCGAGTTCGGTCTCTGAGGCGTGTCAGGCCCCGGCCGTCGCTTCGAAGTTGACCGGAAGCGGCGAGGATGTGAGTTTAGCTCGACAGTTTGTTTTTTGTCCCGAGCTGAGGTCGGCGTTGGCTCGCGAAGTCGGACCGACTACATGATTGTTGTAGGTTCGAGGTCGGCAAAATGTGTCCGAAAGCTTGATGTGATAAATCCGGCTATAACGTGGGGTCGGCCCCGACGGCTTGGAGGCTTTATGTCGGATCAGCCTGGACTTCGGCGGCGAGCCGGCCCGACGTCATGAGGTGTTGGCCGGCGGAGGCGAGGGGTACAATTCATCACGTATCTGTGGTGCGTCGAGCCTGGCACCCACTGCGGCCGTTTTCTGAATTCTGGATTATCCCTCTTTCTTTTCTTTTTCTCTTTTTTATTTTTTAATACCATTATCCTTATTTTTATTATTATATCTGATATCTGATGTGAGGTGAACAGTGTTATTCTGAAGTAATAGTGCCACTGACGTGACTCAACTGTGACCAAGTGGTACAAGTGGTTTATTTTTTACTCAGCAAAAAAGGAAAAGAGAAAAGAAAATGGAAAAAGAAAATTATTGTCATGTGAAAGAGTGGAAGAAATTGAAGAAACAGAGTATCATGGGATCTGAGATCCCCTTTTGTTTGTTTGTTTGTTATTTATTTATTTATTTTTTATGGACTCACACGAAATAGAGGTATGAAAGTGATGAGAGTTAGATATGTTATCAACAAAAATGTAAAAATGTTGTGAGCCCATTTCAAATATTCAAGGATTTTATTATGCCAAGAGTGTCAATAGTTGAAAGACTGTGAAGGATGGTGTTAAACGATGCAGACATGGAAGATAAAATGGGAGAGGAAAATCAGAAAGCAGAAGTTTTTGTGAAGAAGATGAGGTAAATTAATGCAAAGAAAATAGTATAAAAACTAACATTCTTGCCAAACTTGGAGGAGATGATTTTTCGGTGGAGATGCGGCCGTTTTCCGGCAAAAATTGACTCCGAGCAAATTATGGAGCCCTTCCTCTAGCGCCAAACTGTTGATGTCGAAAATTGGACGATCAACCGTCAAATATAATACGAATAGGGGGGATGATGGGGAAGAATGAAGCGGTCGGGGCAACGAGCGACCCTCTGTCAGAGGTGAAGAGGGTCTGGAAGTGAGCAACAGCCGATTCCCGAATCTGAGACTCCTGGGTCAGAGATAACCCATCATCCTCGATACTATGAATATACGACTTAGCACGCTTCTGCCTAACGTAGCCCTGAAAGAACCTAGTATTCCGCTCGCCCTCAGCCACTCAGCGAACGGCCGCCTTCTGCTTCTAGAAGTCCTCCTCCATAAAGAGTCAGAGCTGGTACTCGGCGTGGCAGCGGTGCAATGGCAGTCCTATTCTCCGGAGTGGGGTCCAGGTCATAGGCCCGCTCAGCCGCCGGGTGCGCACTCTGAGCCGCAGAAAGGCGCTGATGAAGGTTTCCAAAAACATCCCAGTTTCACTGTCTCAACCGACGCCGCAGTCTCCCGAGCTTCGCCTCGAGATTGCGTATCCCGAAGAGCCCAGTTGGCTGAAGTCAGGAATCCCTGACAATGTCGTGGAAGAAGTGGTGGTGAATCCACATGTTCTGAAACCTAAAGGAAGAGCGGCGTGGGGTGTTCGAAAATCGGCACCGGATGAGAAGGGTGAATGGTCAGATTCAAATCGAGTAAAGTGTGTGACGGTCGTAAGCGCAAACACCTTCGCCCACGCCTTAGAAACCAAGGCACGGTCGAGCCTCTCTTTGAGTCTGTCCCTCACCCACGTGAAGGGCTCACCATCACATCCAGCGTCAATTAACTCACAGTCTGCCACCGTCTGAGCAAAATCCCACATCTCACGTGACTGGTCCGAATGGCCACCCACACGCTCATCGGGGTGCAGGAAGGTATTGAAATCGCCACTAACCATCCATGGCAATCCCTCCATACTCTCAGCAATCTCACGCAGGGTGTCCCAAAGATCATATCGCCCGACCCTTGTACACTTGGCATAAACCAAGGTGTGAAAGATGGGCTCTGGGAGGTGGGCAGCGGAAAGCTCGACGTGAAGCACTTGATCGGTGTCACGGAGGACCCCACAAGTGTAGTCACGCGAGTGGAGGAACCAGATCTTATGCGAAATGTTACCCACGCCCGAGTGAAAGCCAAGACGACGTGAGTAGTAGTCAAAAGAAGGAGTACGAATCATCGGCTCAATAAAGCCAACAAAATCAAGTCTATGATCACGAATGAGAGAATGAAGTTGAGCGAGAGTGGCCCTATTTGCCAGGCCACGACCATTCCAAGTTACGGATGTGATAGACATATTGCAACACCCCGCTAACTAGGGCCAAATTTTTGCAAATTTTAACTCTTTCGAAAACGCTTATAAATTTTTCGATATCATTTGCAAACTATCTCGGGATGCTGCTAAGGACTTTTTTGCTTAAAAACCCGTTTCTTTAACCTAGGTCTAACGACTGGTTTAAACTTAAAGAAATCAGGTTTATATTTTTACGAATCATGCATATTAGTCTGAACCCGTTCGTACTGGCGAACCGGGTAAAATTATTTAAGTCTGGAAATAAAGTTATGCATGTTCGAAAATAAACACAAGCATAGCGGAAGTCTGAAATACGTGGTTATAATAGTTTACACAACAGTTTAAACAAATGTCCCGGGAACAGCTTTCGTGCGGAACTCACGACGACCACCACCACAGCTCGACTCACGCCTGCCCGCCGACCCTGTCATCTGAAAGTATAAAGTAGAGGTGAGTATGGTCCACTTGTACTCCATAAAAACCCATTCTAAAGTAAACAACAATATTAATAATGATATCACAGACTGGTATATATAAGTAAACTGTAACTCCCGGAACTCTCTGGCCGGTAACTCCCGGAACTCTCTGGCCGGTAACCGTGTGCACACTCTGATGGTATAACTAGGGCAAACTGGGCCACCACCAGAACTTAGGGAAGGCAAACTGGGCCTTAACCCAAAGTGGATAAAACTCATATACATACCTGAACGTGATATCGACTATTAAACTCAATGTATAACCCAGACTGGGTCCCCACCTGATCGGTTTTGAAAATGCATAAGTGCGGCTGTGCTGGTAGCTGACTCCTCAAGCTACATAAAAATATAAGCAAACAAGATATACTAAGTACTATGCTCGTCATATGCTCAAAAATATGCTAGGATGCTCTACTCTATCAGATTACTCATCCGGATATAAAGGAACGCTCTATGGGTTTACAGAAATAATTCTAAGTCCGGAAATAATACTGATATGCTTAACTGATCTGGTTTGGCTCGGAAAAATACTTAGATTTCGGAATAAGACTCGGACCGAAAATCACGAACCAAAACGGACTCGAACCGCCGGCTAAACCGGCCGGTTCGCTAACTGGCTGAACCGGGTCGGGCTGGACCGGACCCGGTTGGACCACCGGGTCACACAGGACCGGTTGGTCACGGGCTGCTCGGACTGGCCGGGCTCGATCCCGTGCCGGGCCTGCTGGGGCCATGGCACGGCGCTGGGCACTAGCTGGGTGCGACCGGGCACGGTACTAGGCGCTGCTGGGCGCGGGCTGTGCGGCTGGCACGGGCCCTGGCACGACTGGTGCCACTAGGTGCGGCTGGGCACGACCGAGAGTCACTGGGTGTGCTGGCGTGCTGCTGGGCACGGTCGAGCACGAGGGACGCGGGAACTGGCGCGTACCCGGGTTGACTGGGCACTGGGCGTGCGGCTGGCACGACCCGAGTGCGACTGGCGCGAGAACGGACGTGGCCAGACACTACTCGCGCGGCTCGGGCGCGGCTAGGGCTGTCAGGGTGCTACCGGGCGACCCTGGGCACGCGGGCATGCTGCTGGGCACGTCCCGGGCTAACTGACTACTCGGGCGTGCTGCTGGGCACGTCCCGAGGCCTCTGGACCTGACTCGGGGTCACTACAGCACGGCACTGGACACTCGGGTGCGCTGCTGGCACGACCCGAGGTCGACTCCGCGTGGTACGAGCGACTGGCTCGGGATCACGCGTGCATGACACTGGGACAGCGCTGCCGGGCGCTGTCGGAGGTGCTCTGGCGCGACTGGCGCTGAGACCTCGCGGGCTGGCACGGACAGGCGCGGCTGGGCGCTGTCACGTGCACTGGGGACTGCGGTGCCTCGCGAGCGCTAGGCGCGGGCACGGACAGGGGCACTGCCTGGCCCCTGCGACGCGGCACGGGCACGGCACGCGCTACTGGCGCGGCTGGTGACCCTAGCCGGTCCTTTGCCAAACTTCCGGCAACTTTGCCGGGGACTACTGAACCAAATCAACCTAATATGACATAAAATGCTCAAAAATGCCAAAAGTCACTGAGGGACCTCGGTTGGATTTGGTGGTGGGCTTATAGGGCCGATTAGGCAAGAGGCCACCCTAGGGCACAAAATGAACATGCTCAACATGAAAATTAACCTAGGGCCGAATGATATACATCAAAAATCATGGCTAATGAGGCTAGAACATTGGTCAATACATGCATGCACATATACTTAGGTTCGGGGGGGAAAATGGCTCGATTTCACTTAACAAATTGACCGAACAAATGAACTCAAAGCATGAAACTGTTTTAACCATGTCATACTCATGATTTTTGAGGATTTTTAAGATACTAATCTCGGCCATATCATGCATGTACATAAACTTACGAATTTAGGGCTCATATGATCAAAAATTCATATCTCCTTATATCTCACATGCATGGCATCATTTTCAACATGATTATTCTTATTTTATCATGAATAAGATAGGAAAAATGGTTGGCACGAGCTAACCTTGCTCAAAAGTCGAAATGGTGCCAAAGGACTTTGCTCGGGGATCTCGCGGCCCTAGGAACTTGGTCTCGGCTAGGAGGCTTCAATGGCTGAGGAGGATAGCTTCAAGGGACTTAGAAAAATCCAAACAATGCTTGGATAACGATAAACCCCGAGATAACTAGGCTAGAACAAGCTAAACACGAGCACTCCTCTTCCCCGGGGCACACGCGCGCGCGGCTAGGCTTGCCTTGGCTTGCTCTCGGTTTTTCTCTTGTTTTCCCTCAATGTGCTAAGTGTTATGGT